TTTAATGATAAAAGTGTGCAATTTTGAGACAGATCATTGTGGAGTTCTTCCTGGTATTGCAGTCAAAAAAAGAACATTTCGTCTGGTTTAATGAGATGCATGGGCAAAGATCGCCGTGGCTTTTTTGCCCGAGTCCAAATGAAAACACAACGGACATGTCTTTGCAAAAATATATTTAAGGTGCAGCCAAAAAACTGAAAATTGGTACAAGATGAACAGTGCTTTTATTAGGAACATTGTCTTTGTTATTAAACCCACTGAAATATGCAGATAGATGGAGACAACATCCTGGTCAACAGTCTCCTATAATTTCACATAGTGTTACACTAACATCATTGTTATGGCACAGGGCACAGAGTAAACTGTGCAGTATCTTGACAACTATTTTTAAGGATAAAAACAATAGTAATTTGTTGATTTTGAGCCTGATCTAGAGGCATCGGAACAAGACTTTCCATTCATTAAGTCAATCTTCCCCACACCCTAATGAAATTGAAGGTTTTACTGCTTTTCTGTCAAGACCGGTACATCTAAGTGTTAAAACTACATTACCCAGTTGCACATAGCGATGCTGTTTTATTTAAAATTACACATTCCTGGTAAGCATCCACAACTTGGGAGTTTTCTCATCACAAATTAATCGCAAAAGTGAGTATATGACAAGCTAACAACAAGTTTCTCAAGCTCTGTCCTGTTGTTTCAACTTCGCTACTATAAAATCATAGGTGAATTCATCATCATCGTGACATTCCACGCATTTAATCCCAGTAAATGATTTCTTCAGGGCCTCATTTGTAGAGGCATAGACCATCTTTTGCTTCACTGACACGCCATCTGAACACCTGCAAATATTGAATGCATTCAAGTCAGTAAACAAATTTGCAGCCACACTCTAAGTGGAAGAAAACGATGAAACATGCTAAGCCTGCTAGAATACAGTTGTATGAGAAAGTTGTTGGTCAGTCAGTGAAACAAGCTACTTGGAATAACAAGTTACTAGGTCTCCCAACAGGGCTCAAATCTATGACCTTCTGTGCACCATTCAGATGCACCAGGCCATGTGACTTATTCTCGTCCCCAGAGCCTCCATTTCTTTTGGTCACGTGGTCGGCAAGAAACAGAGGGCTCTTGTAGCAGCCAAGATGGGGACATCTGTAAATTATGGACATCTGGTAGCAAATGCGTAATTTTTACCCGCCTGTCTACTCATGCTCAGAAACTAATCCCGAGGAAGAGGAAAGAGGCAGAGAGACGAGATGTATATTGAAGGAATTCACTGGGTTTTCACGATGAAGTTAGGTGATTTGCAGTTAAACAGTAAACAGAAAGCTGTCTTGAATGCAATCAATCTGAAAACGATTGCAAGTTTATGTGAATAGTTAACCAACAGGTTTCATTGTGCCTTTTGTGGTGGACCGTCCAGAAAAAGTCAACGACAGATGTTTTCTTCTTGGTTCTCCTCTCAATGTCATCATAACCGATCAAATAGAGAAGTTAAACAAGTGAGGTGCAGTTGTTAGAGCTTTCAAGCAAGGTAAATTACCTTGATTACTAATCAAGATGCTACAAGTTATAAGTCTGTCAATGGCACGGTGCAATCTGTTCAAGGACACAGAGAGGCGTTTATGGAAATTGCATTATTGAGGACTCTTCTTTACTGCGAGTTAAGGGAGGATTTCATCTTAAATGTAAGACCCATTCTGTTTGAAATAAAAAATAAAGGTCCTACATAACCATCAGAACATTAAACTGTTCATCAAAATAGCTACTTTGCCTTTTGGTCACTAAGGTATCAACAGAGACAATGCATTGGCATACATGATGTACATTTATGCTGTACTGGCTGTTTTGTGAGCAGAACGATTTTGTTACCATGTTTTGGCCCATGTTCCTCATGATAACCAGGGTAACTGTTGTTTTCAGCTTAATTAATTTTGTGCCTGATTTTATGACCGATTCCATGAGAAAAATCCTGGCCAGTCAGAGTAAGCATTTACCAGTGAAAACCTCTAATCAACCATTAGGCACCCAGATGGGCTCCTTGAACAAAACTTTAGTTGCCCGCATTCATAACTTGGGCACCTCAGAAGACCAGACATCTGTTTGGCAGCAGCCTTGAGTAGAAACAAGTCATGACATGCAGCAGTAATGTTTATTCCCCTCTGCACTACTCTTTGAGCCTTGACAATCAAAATCCTTTTGATAGAAGTCCTTTTTCTGTCCCAGTTGTCAACAAGTAGTAAGAGTATTTACTGTTTGATTTAGCATTCTGTTATACTCACGTCACCCGTCTGCCATCTTACATCCATCCCAAAGTGCATCACACGATATGTGCTGTGCAGTTCTGGACGGATTAAACATGGTGGACGAATAATTGCTACAGGGTGAACCAGCTACAATATTGTTGGTTTTCGTCCCAGCAATCAGTTTACACAACATCCACTGCAAAGGTTAATTACAAAAGTTGACTTTGTAATTAGGAAACATTTGGGAAGAGGTAATTTTCGCTTACTAGCCAAGATCCACACCACTGAGTAAATGTAAGCTTACGTATAACTTATACGTTTCCTTCTCTATTCTCTAATACTAGTTTTGCTTTCTTTTATTCATGTCCAAATCAAGTGTGAAATTTTGTTACAAAAATTTTTTGTTACAAACCATTTCCCACAATCACTGGACACAGACCTAAAAGAAGTGTTACCGATGAAATTTGAAATCCTAGGGCTTGTAATCCCCACCTAGGCCAGGCTTGAACCTCGACCGCTCGATCTGGAGGAAAGTCCACTAACCATGAGGCAACCATGAGGCCACCATGCCTTCACTACTATGATATGTTTTCCTGGTTATTGCAACTGTATGACCTGTAATTGCATTGCTGTCCTCACATTCTGTGGGACAATGTAAACTGTTCAATTCTACCAAGTTTTCTTACTTACCAATATATGTACACAACAACATCTTTTTTACCAGCTCCTTCCCTTTCATATGTGACGTCCGCCAAGATGTAACGAGGTTCTTTGGATTCCAGAACTACTTCTCTCATCTCATCGAAACTTTTTTGAGTCGTACCTACTTCTCTGTCTTCGAGCTTCAAACCTTTCCTTTCCATCACAACTGCCGTTTTCTCTTTATTGATCATCATGACTGCATATCCATGCTGTTTTTTGTCTTTAATTTTAGCGAACATATCTTTGCATTCAGCATCCAATTTAATACCAGAGGACTGCAATTGAGAGAAAAAGTTTGCTCATGAGAATGATACAAAATTGTGCTATGATCAGACCATTTACCAAACACAGTGTTGCTACCACCCATGAGAAACAAAATTAACCAACCTCAGCAACAAGCCCTGCATCCCTGACTTTGATTTAGAAATTCAGAAATTCACTGCAGGGTTTTCAAAATAAGCTGGTGCCTGGCGCAAGTCACCAGCTACTTCAAGTGTTTGCATGGGGTACTTTTTGTCTCAAAGTTTATTTGTGCAAAGTTTTGTTTCACCAAAATGATCATGATCTGATCTTTTTGGGGCTACATGTGCACATTTTCCGTGAAAAAAAAACACAGAAACATGTTTCACATGCAAGACCAGAGCTTAAATTGGAAAATTATGAATCAGTGCAACATAAAGTCCAATTTCCTGGAATAAAAAAAAGAGGGCAAAAATTTCATTTCCTAGGCACTTTGAAGGGTGTCTAAACAATAAAACCTTTCAACATGAGTATTAAAGATATTACGGCAAAAATCAAAACATTGAAGAAAGGAAACCATATCACCAATTTTGAGTGATACTTCATGTATGTGACAGGAACAATATTACCAGAAGTCGCCTTCATGCTTCCCACTCATCTGCAGCTCTTTTTTGTTATGAAAACTCAAACCATGTTGATATTGAAACATTTTTCTTGAACATGCATGATTGAAACAATAATAATAATAATAATAATAATAATAATAATAATAATAATAATAATAGTAACAATAACAATAACACTAACAACAATAATAATATTTAAGCAGGAAAATTAACGCAAGTAAAGTTACGTGACATTTCAACGACTTCAGTCATCATTGTCGAATGAATAAATTAAAAATAACAGCAAGACATGTTTACAGTACTTGGGATGTGAGAAAATGAAATTAGCAAACGTTACCTGAAAACTTTCACGTTAAAAGTTTCGCGTGAATGGAATCCCCTTGCTTGTTCAATTTGGATCTCTCATTCTTAATCAACAGCATTTCAAAGATTAAACATTCAAGTTGGCCTCGGCATTTCTTGAATTGGCAAACTTGAATGTTTTATCTTTGTTTTATCTTTGAAATGCTGTAGTTTTCTGTAGCATTCTGTTGTTTTGTTTAAAGTGTATGGTGGCCTAGAACAAAATGACTTTTAGGGGCAAAAATGCACCTCAATGCTGGCACAGATTTTCCAAATTCTCCAGGGCTAGCAACTCATTCCCCGCCCCTTCTGTGCAAGACGATGTAACCCACTCTGGCACTCTACCCCACATGACCACCCTTACATGACCCAAAAGTGCTATGATTTCCTCCTGCAGGCTACAGTTTTGTTTGACCTTGAAAAAATGTTTCCCTGCATTTCATTCTGACCTGCTGCTACATGGAAGCCTCACAACCAAACCTTTACTTGTCTGACAACTTGGCTTCTTTTAAGGACACAGCAGCAAAATCAGCATATGATTTTCAACAGTTTCAGTTTTGCCATCATAAAAGGTCAAGTTTCCAAGAGAAAGATTTGAATCATGATAATTTGCCAACAAGCTAGAGTGCACCAAAAAACAAGTGCTACAATTTTTTTGCCCAATCAAAGACTGATTCTAGATGGTTATGGAGCTCGAGTCTAGTAAGATTAACTGCCTTGGGGCAGTTACGCTGCTATTGTAAACTTTTGTTTTGTGGGTTATGAA